TTGTAAAAGTGTGTACCACGTTTACACGCATCAATGAATTTAATTGGCCAGAATAAATAATTCATTCTGGCCACTGAACTAAGTTAACGCTCAAGTGATACATGCACCTAGCACTTAGGTGCGTAAGCATTTTTTCAGTCAAACGCTGCTGCTCCAGGACGCCCTGGCAGTGGGTTTTTTCGCTGCCACTAAATTCTCCAGCCATAAAACACTGCTAAAATTCTATGTATGTGTGTGCAGGAACACACAGGATAACATGCAGGAGAATTTAGAGCCAGTTAAAAACAAAAATGTCCGCCGTCCCTAGGAGCAGCTGTAAAAACGCCCAGTGTGCATGAGGCCTAAATATCATCCATGGGAAAAACAAGTGAAATTGCGCCATAAGTTATATACTGTATGTGAAATTACAAACATTCTATTTTTTAAATAAAAAGCAGCCCGACGGCTCCCAGTGCCAATGACAGATCCGGCCTGAGCTCCGAGCCTACTCAGCAAGACGGTGCTAGGGGACACACTCGCCCCCACCATAATTTCCACTCGCCATTGGCAAGCAGGCAAGTGGAAATTTCAAGCCCTGGTGTATGGCCAGCTTTAAGCCTGGGTTCATGCAAACCGCTGTGGATGTGTATGTTGAGTTAACAACACCCCAAAATCAGTCCGTAAAACACAATGCGATATGCAGAATTGGATCACACAGGTGTGAATATCATGCGATCCGATTCTAGTGTGGCCCCTAAAAAGGGTCCTGCACTGCACCTTTTTGGTGCAGGTACGGTGTGATTAGAGCCATACAAAATGTATGTCTCCAATCACACCGCACACAAATCGCATGTGATTTGCAGAGGAATGCATTATACCGCACCGCATATATGTGAACCCGGGCTTAGTCACCATGTCGATCTGAGTTCCTCCCACTACAAAGAGCTGCAACGTAAAGTTTAAATAGTGAATTTTTAAAAAACAAAAAATTTAAAATGTATGCAAGTATGAATGAATGCTTGGTGCTCCTAATGGTCATGTGAACAGTAGGCAGAGGCCACCAGCACTCACCTCAAAGACGCCAGTTACAGTCCATGAACGCAAAACGCCATAACATGACATAAATAGAAATATATTGCATTTGTATAAAAGACATCCAGTGCTAAGAGATTCCAGTCCACCCTGCATAAATCCTCATGCACACGGGACGTTTTTTACAGCGGCTGTTTTTGGCTTTTGACGTTTTTTTCTACAGCCAGTAAGCCCCCAGCATGTTATCCTATGTGTCCATGCACACATAGGCTGTAATCAACGTTTTTTTTTTGGCTGGGGCATTTTTTGGCTGGAAAAAAAAACCCAGAACTAGTGGGTTTCTAGAGGAGTTTTTTAGCTGTAAAAAAACGATTTAACGCTGAAAAAACAATCCTTTCTATAGAGCCACTCTTCTTACATCCCCTCCTCCACCACTGGACAGGCACAGCCCATCAATAGCCCTTTGCAAACAAACATTCTAATGCCCTGTGGAATGTGACAGTCTTTATTAAATGGATGACTTCCCTTATAGAGACCTGCAGGAGTACAGAAACCATCCTCTTCAATCATACAGATCTACATCCTGCCACCTGGGTGGTACCATATGTGCTTTATTGCACGTGTTAACATGTATTGCTTTAAAGTGTTACTAAACCCACAACAGTAAAATCAGTCTGTATATGCAGTAAAGCATGCTTGTTATACTCACTGTGGAACCTAAGGGGTTAATCCTCTGCATTGTGTAAAAAGGCCACTTGATCCTGACTTCTCTGCCCCTCCTCTTGTTCAAATGTCCACCTGATAAGAGACTGAATCCGTAACCACAGGCACATGCTCAATTCAGTGTGTATTGCTAGAGAGGATTTTTTTTTGGGAGGGTCCATGTGATCAGCACAGGACCAATCAGCACTGTCCAGACAGAGGTCAGGGGTTCTGCATCCTCCTAGAGCAGAAAGAAAACTCCTATAAGCTTTAACCAATTCTCTGCTGAAGTCATAAGACTGCTCTAACTGCTGAAGAGAAAAGCTATTCAGCATTTATATTTACTAAAATAATTGCCCTTCCATGTTCTGTGTACGGTGGGAGACCCGATATAGTGAATGCAGGGTCCAGGGAGACCCGATAGAGTGAATGCAGGGTCCGGGGAGACCCGATAGAGTGAATGCAGGGTCCGGGGAGACCCGATAGAGTGAATGCAGAGTCCGGGGTTTAGTAGCACTTTAAAGGCAGCTTATTCATTATGAATGGGCTGCCAATGCACTACAGCGCTGAAAAATCATGAATGATCCCTTTTTCCAAAAAGCAGTGCACCACAGCACACAGTACACTGCCTTGCGCTCCACTTTATAGAACATTGGGGGATGCTATTCATAACACAAAGGGCATTTGTTGGAGCGACCCACATTAAAGTGTTACTAAACCCTCAACCGTAAAATCAGTCCATATATGCAGTAGAGCATGCTTGTTATACTCACTGTGGAGCCTAAGGGGTTAATCCATCACATTGTGTAAAAAGGCTGTTTGATCCTGTCTTCTCTGATCCTCCCCTTCTTTTACTGTCCCCAATCCATCTGCTAATAGAATAGAGCCTTAGGAGTCATTCTGCACATGCTCACTTTAGTGTGTATGGCTAGAGAGTTTTTCTTCCTTTTGGGAGGGTGCATGTGATTAGCACAGGGCCGATCAGCACTGTCCAGACAAAGGGTCAGGGGTTATGCAGCCTCAGACAGTCAGAGCAGAATGAAAAGTCCTCCTACAAGGTTTAACCAGGGCTAAGCTGGACACTGATAGAAGTCACAAGACTGCTCTAACTGCTGATGAGAAAAGGTATTTAGCAGTTTATATTTACCAAAATAATTGCCCTTCCATGTTCTGTGTACTGTGGAAGACCAGATATAGTGAATGCAGGGTCCGGGGTTTAGCAACACTTTACCCCTGGTTCACATATATGCGGCCGTGCGGGCCGCGTCTTGCATGGACACGAGAATCCATTCATTTGAATGGACTCCTGTGCCCCGTGACACACAGGGAAGAAGTCCCTGAACTCCTTCTGAAAACTCAGCCCGCACGGGAACCTGTTTCCAGTACGGTTGCGTTTATCCAGTGCGGGCGGCATGCCATTAGAATTAATGGCACCCGCCCGCAGGTCTGCATTCCTCTGTGCGGGTGGTGCGGCTGCACGGATTTTTGTGCGGATCCGCAGCGGCACCACCCTCACATATGTGAACCAAGCCTTAACCCTTGCAGTTCAGATACAGCCCCACTGCAGGGTATCATTTTATCATTTCCCAGAGTTGGGCTTTAGTTGCAACAGAAAAAAAAATTAAAAATTGCCCACCAACCTAGCAGTCTTGAATGGCAAGGGTGTGTAAATTTCAGGACTGGATGGACAGAGTTAAAATACTTATGTACAAGAGAAGACCTAAAGAACAACTTTACAAAAAATGATGTTATCCTTTAAAGCAATAGTCTGCTTTTTACTGAAGTCATCCTTGAATGACCAAGCCTCTATACCAGTCCTCCACTGCCCTTGCTCAGTGAGACAATGCCATGATTCATAATAAGGGGGGGGACGGAAGGAACCAAAAAAAACAGTCAGACCTGTGTTTACTAGAGGCGAATCACTGGAAGGTACATTTCAATTGGCTGCCGGCTACCGGCCTTTGCCATAAGGAATAATCTGCAGTACCACAGTCAGAGCCGCGAACAGAAAGAAAAAAATAAACGTCTTTAAAAAAAAAAAAAAAAAAAGTCATATTTCATTTCCTCCACTTGCTATATTTTAAACGCTCCAGTGTGCAAGTGACATATAGTTAGCAGCGAAGCGGTGTCTGGAGCGGCGCAAAAAGCCTCAAACCGATTGGCTGAATAACAAAATGTCATTTATAATACGGTCTGGCGTGGTGACTTCAGCAATTATTAATCGCGTTACCCAAAACAGCAAAGCCGAGCGTGATAAAAATAGAAGAGTTGCAAGCACGCTATGGGTATGAGAAAAACGCACGCCAAGGTAGAACTGTCCATTCAGTTCTCATGACTGAAGCACAGACACAGCCATTGAGCCAAGCTGAGAGGGCTCATTCACATTACAATCCATAATTTACTATTATAATTCATGCATCGGCCTATGAGACAGGATGGAACTATTATTATTTATTTATTTCAGGTACTTATATAGCGCCGTCAATTTACACAGCGCTTTACATATATATTGTACATTCCCATCAGTCCCTAACCCTCAAGGGGTGTACAATCTAAGATCCCTAACTCACATTCAAACATACACATACTAGGTACAGCCACCTACGTTCCCAGCCTAATTGGAGTATACCTTTATATTGTTATATTTTGGGGGGGGGGGGGGGGGGGGCCTAAGGCTAGGTTCACACCTATGCAGTTTGTGTTTGATCCATTTCTGCAGTACGTTTTGCACATGCGTTTTTGCAGCAGTTTTTTTTTCTTCTTGTTGCTAGGCAGATTAAAAACACAGAACATATCAAAAATGCACTACATGCTTTTCTGCAGCATTTCCATTGAAGTCTATAAAACCAAAAACTCAACTTTTTGCGTTGAAAAAAATCCCTGACCCTTTCCAAAAAATGCACCGGGTGAAGACGCGGAGATGTGAACGTGTCCCATAGAGAATCATGTTAAATGGACTGTACTGCGTTTCTGCAAAAGGCTGCGGAAAACGCTTAGGTGTGAACCTACACCAAGCTAAAATCACTACAGATTAACAACAAAAAAAGGACAATATACACTGATTTCAAGAAAAAAAAAAAAAAAAAAACACTGCGATAGCAACTACTTGATCTCAAAAAAAAAAAAAAAAAAAAAAAAAAAAAAAAATGTCCTCTATGATCACACCCTTGAATGTTAAAAAACACTAAACTTGTATATATCCAACTTCCCCATAAAAATAAGAGTTAAAGTGGTAGTAGACTCTTGTCATCTTGTACCTACAGTTAAGGCTTAAACGTGTTACTGAACCCAGGACCCTGTATTCACTATATCTGGTCTCCCAGGACCCTGTATTCACTATATCTGGTCTCCCAGGACCCTGTATTCACTATATCTGGTCTCCCCGGACCCTGCATTCACTATATCTGGTCTCCCCGGACCCCGCATTCACTATATCTGGTCTCCCCGGACCCCGCATTCATTATATCTGGTCTCCCCGGACCCTGCATTCATTATATCTGGTCTCCCCGGACCCTGCATTCATTATATCTGGTCTCCCCGGACCCTGCATTCATTATATCTGGTCTCCCCGGACCCTGCATTCATTATATCTGGTCTCCCCGGACCCTGCATTCATTATATCTGGTCTCCCCGGATTCACTATATCAGGTCTCCCCGGACCCTGCATTCACTATATCAGGTCTCCCCGGGCCCTGCATTCACTATATCTGGTCTCCCCGGACCCCGCATTCACTATATTTGGTCTCCCCGGACCCTGCATTCACTATATCTGCTCTCCCAGGACCCTGCATTCACTATATCTGGTCTCCCCGGACCCCGCATTCACTATATCTGGTCTCCCCGGACCCTGCATTCACTATATCTGGTCTCCCCGGACCCTGCATTCATTATATCTGGTCTCCCCGGACCCTGCATTCATTATATCTGGTCTCCCCGGACCCTGCATTCATTATATCTGGTCTCCCCGGACCCTGCATTCATTATATCTGGTCTCCCCGGACCCTGCATTCATTATATCTGGTCTCCCCGGACCCTGCATTCATTATATCTGGTCTCCCCGGACCCTGCATTCATTATATCTGGTCTCCCCGGATTCACTATATCAGGTCTCCCCGGACCCTGCATTCACTATATCAGGTCTCCCCGGGCCCTGCATTCACTATATCTGGTCTCCCCGGACCCCGCATTCACTATATTTGGTCTCCCCGGACCCTGCATTCACTATATCTGCTCTCCAGGACCCTGCATTCACTATATCTGGTCTCCCACAGTACACGCAACATGGAAGGGCAATTATTTTAGTAAATATAAACTGCTAAATACCTTTTCTCATCAGCAGTTAGCAGTCTTGTGACTTCTATCAGTGTTCAGCAGAGCACGTTAAAATTTGTAGAAGGAGTTTTCTTTCTGCTCTAGGAGGATGCAGAACCCCTGATGATGGCATGTGGCATGGTTTCGTTCAGGAAGGGGTTCACCACTTTGTGGATTGTCCCCTCTGTTCGAAGTTCGCAGTCCAGCTTTCATTATGTTTCAGTGTTCGACTGCGAACCGAACAAGGGGGTGTTTGGTCCATCACTACATTTTAGATAGAGTGTAGTACCACAATTTTGGGCAGTACAATTTGCGAATACTCGTCTACTAGTCGATGGCTGCACTTATGCTGAAAGAGTTTCCCCTTTAAAATACAAAATCACAACCTTGCATAATAATTCAACAATAACTGCAATATTTATACGCAAATTAGAAATAACCTTCACATGGCCTTAAATTTGTACAACAAAGAAAGAAATTCAATGTCTGCTGCCCTTGGAGTTTTAGCCATCACACTGGAACAAGGACGGAGGTGGTAGACAGTGAAGGCCATGCTTGCCCGAGTCAGAGGTTTCCATGAAAAACTGAAGGAATGTACTATTTTTTTTCTCTACGTAGAGCATTACATACAGCAATGAATATACTGAAGAACCCAAATAGCATAGGAAGTGTATAAAGCTAAACTCCAGGCACGTTTATTTATATATCAATAGAGACAAGCGTGAGCACCTACCTCCAATGTGCTTGAACTGCTTCTAGGAGCTTCTTAACCAATGACACCACCAAGCTGCTAAAAAGACACACTACTTCATTGCTTCCCACTTTGACCGTTACAACTCCCACCTTGTTGGTCTATCACAACACTGACTATCCCCTATTCAGTCTATTATGAATGGCGACACCAGACGTATCCACCTCACCAAACTTTCTGTATCCACCAGCCTTCTGTGCCAATCACCTAATGTATAGAATTCAAAAATACTAACAACAGCTTTGTAACCTGTTACATCACCAACCTCATCTCAAAATATCGCTAGTCCAAACGGTCCTCTCCTCTCCTCCACAGTTGCGGTCTTTTTTTTTTTCTGTAAAAGTCAAGCTTTGCTCCATCTCTACCAAGCCTAGCTACTGGTCTTCTAATGTAATGAAGCAGCATTTCTTTATCTACTGAGCAGAGTAGTTCCAAAGTAGAACTATAGTCCCAACTGCTCCAGCAGTTCTATGCCTTGGGATCTTCAGCCATCCTAATTAGCCTGGCCGTGATGACGTAACTACCGTACATGCGAGGCACAGCACACAACTTGTCAGGAGGAAGGTAAGATGTCTTCATTGCAGAAGAGCTTAACATGTATCTTCTGCAACAGAAAAACCTTTGTTCTCACACATCTTTAAAATGCACACTAAAGATCCGCTTTGAATTTCACCAAAAGGTAACCTATGCTTATAAATTTTCACAAAGAAGGAAGGGTTAAAACCTCTGTCAGTTTTATCCTTTTGGGACTTTCTCCTTCATTCCTGGTCTGGAAAGCAAAACAAAGCATGAGCAAATCTCTCAAAATGGGGGAAGTCCCTCTTAGATAGTAGTTCACCACTGGACAATTTCCCCTTACCTCGTTTTGGTGGCAACTCTAAAATTTTTAAAATTTCCCCTCATATGCTATCTCAGTGGCAATGGTCATCGATACACATGGGACGGGGGGGACTTTCCTCAACAGGACACAGACAGCAATAAGAACTTGACAGAAGGTCTAATCCAGTCTCTCTCAACCTTTTCAACACAGAGGAACCCTTGAAATAATATTTTTGATCTCAGGGAACCCCTGCTAAAAATGACTATCTACAACGCATGATACATTAGTGTGATGTGGGAAGAATGCTCCTCACACTTGTGGTCATTGGGAAGAACAGATAGCTAAAAAGATCAAAGCTGTCAAAGGGAACTTAAAACGGAGAGAAAGACATTTCCCATTGCTCAAGGAACCACTAGCAACCTCTGGAAGAATCCTAGCGTTGCACAGAACCCCAGCTGAGAAACCCTGGTCTAACCCTTCCCTACGCTATTCAAAACCTGAAGAAAAAATAAATAAAAAAACAAGGAGTTATGCCTAAAGATACAGTTCAAAATGACACGTTCATTAATGAAATCTTCAACTTCCATGGTGATTCTGACAGGCATAGCAAAATCAAAAAGAAATAAAATGAAAATAAGAAGACAACACACGCTTTGGTGATCCCCGAGCCGGTGACATTCACCATCATCTCGATGCAGCACAATCTTCCAGAGTCTGAAGAATTCCTTCACTTGGTTTTTCCTCTCGTCGCAGATTTCACTAGCTAACTAGGTTTTAAAGTCGACTTCAGGCCCCGCTTCATTTAACACTTAGAACGGAAGCATTAAGCTACACTTGCCAACTCTTCTACCTCACAATTTCTTCATAAAAGGCCAGGGGATGCTAATTGTAGGAGCTTGTATTACCGGCCTGGGTTCATTCATGCTGCCCAGTTCTACGCCTCATACGACAGGCAGTAAAAACGGCAATATATTCAGTCGGGAGGTTGCCATGACAATGGCTGCAGTTTGGCTGTCCCTGATCCATATTCAGACATGTAATCAGTATAAAATATTTGGAGGAGTGCACAGAGCAGAACAGACAGTTTATCAATGTTCGCACTCTATTTAACTGCCTCACAGTTGTATGGCTAGATAGGCTTTGGAAAGCCTATTATTCAAAAAAAGACACAAGATGGCTGCTGAACTTCAATATTTTCCAGCCCTTCTCACTCATCTTAAAACTGGATTTCGGCTCACTTTGGCAACAACTTCATATTTTAGAACTACACCAACAAAAATAAATAAATACCTTCTACATTAGGATTTTTGTTTAAACCTAAACTTTATGTAGGATTTTTAAAGGCCAACTCAAAAGCAACCCCATAAACAGCTCTCTGAACGTTTTCCTAATATTCAAGGATTAAGCAAACATGAACCATACAAACACTAGAATTATCTAGTTTTGTTCTGTGGAGCCATAGGGTTCCTAAAGGAGCCAGTCTCAACCAGAGTTCTCCAGAAGTTAAGGGTTCCATGAGCTGTGGCTGATTGACCATCTGATTGATGATGCCAGCACAGCTCCTAAGCCAACTTGGCATAGCCATCTGCATACCTATGATCTTTTTTTTAGCCGACTGTATAGGTGGTAATTTAACCACCACTATAAGGTGGGCGAATCTTCCCGCTGACCCCAATGTAAGGAGTATTATTAGCCCCGATTCCCAATAAACTGGTTTCCCAGAGACCTGAAAATTATTTCAAGGGTTTATCTAAAGGAAAAGGTTGAGATGTTGCTAGAGGTTCCTTGGTTGTTCCCTGGATTGTACCTGCACAATCCAGGGCCAATGCCACCTGGCAGAGCAAGCGGCATGACACCAAAAATCTTTTTAGCTTTCTGCAAGGGCATTTTGACCAATACTGTACAGAAGACATTCCTCCCACTGACCAGCAACGTAACGTGCATTGTCCCTAATGACTTATTTCATCAGGCGCTCCCCACGACCTGAAAACGAGAGACAAATGAACAGAGTGACCAGGCTGTATTGTTTAACTCCAGTAGAGAAAAGCCAGGTTACAGACATGGCAGTAAAAACACACAGGAGGGCGCAAACGCCTAGTGCATTATCACCATTAATGTTTATTGGATCCAAAAGACAATTAAATACTCAAACATTGTAAGGAATAGGAGTATCCAATAATTCCAGCCATAAGGAGATGACGTCTGACCATGTATAACATAGTTGGAAGACTGGAGTGTTTCGGGGGATGTGCACCATTCCTCAGAGCACAGGGCTGTATATATTTCAGGACTGGACAGAAATGCAAATCCTATAGCATCTAAAACAAATCCTCTCTATGTGCATTTCAACTGTTTATAAGCAGATTGAAGGACAGTGCTTTGATACCCCAATAAACTTGAGTTCATCGCACTATTTCACAAAAACACCATCAGCTGCACTCTGACTAGTTGCTAGGATTTATTTATTTATTTATTTTTTTACAAAACTCAATTTCCATGTATAAGGTTCAATGAAGAGCATAAACAAAAACTGAACAAACAAGGAAATGGACAGTGTTCTGCAGAAGAGACTTATGAAAGATTTCCCAATGTGCTGACAAACTTTTTTGGCCAATAGTAAATCATTCCTTTTTTAAAGACAAAGAGGGGATAAGGCTTAACGGAGTCCATTCCATTAGCAGGAATGGGAAGAAGATGATCACAACAGGCCATAGTGGCAAACAAGTCATTCCAGGACAAATACATCTCCCGCTGGCCAAGGAGACAACTGCCCATCAGTGAGCACTATTTTTATTTAAGGAGTGACTCAGATGACTAAATCTCCACTGTACACAACTTTTTCATTCTTTTTAAGTTTCAACTCTAAAACAGTCTTTGGACTAACCTAACCTTTGTTCCAAAGCATTTAAAAAAAAACAGAATCACACAATGGCGGAGGTAGACATCCTGCGGCCACAATTAAGACACTTGCTGGTGGTATTTAGTCAAAGAATAGGATTTGTTAAAAGGGGTGGAATGAAGTTAATCCCAATTCATGGACAACCTACATAGGTGGTCCTTCTCTGAACTTTGACCCTTCAATGCCATACTGAATCCACACAGACATAGGTTGCAGAGTCCAATTAACAATACATAATAGCGTTTAATAAGAACAGTATATTCCTTGGCAATACATCCGTATTTGGTCATTTTTATTAGCAGAAATAATATATTTGTTTATGAATGAAGCAAACTAAACCACTTATCAGTTTGTGTAAGGAAAGCATTGTCAGTCTGTGTTGCTCATTTCCACCCATCACATTCCTATGTGCAATGTGGCACAAAAAAAAAAATGTAACTGATTTTTTTTTTAGCACGCATACTGATAGAACAGGGT